TGCACTTAGGTTCTTCCTAATGGTGAGAATAATTATTTTGAACACATTAGAGAAAAAAAATCATCATCATATGGAGGACAAAGTGATTTACTTTTTATCATATGGACGTATTAATGTTAAATTTTTTTGCACATTAATACACAACTAAGATTTATGAATGTACTCTCTCAACTGGCTCCTTCCTAGTGACATTTAAACTAGTTCAAGTTTTTTCTACTTTAAAAGAAGGAGGGAAAAAACCTCCTAGGATCCACATCTCCAGCCTCCCCTTCACACCATGGCCAAACTCTGGGAAACAGCTGTCTGTGTTTCTCCACCTCCCATGCAGGCTTCAACCACTCCATGCTGGTTTGCACCTTCACTGCATCGCCTCAAGAGCTCCAGCTAGCATCACCGAGGACTCCCCTTCCCTCTGAATCCCATGTAGGAGACAGAGAAGCAAACCTAAAACTGGATTTTACGATTTCTATCTCAGGACAGAGCATGTGTTAGAGCTCTTTCCCACCTGGCTGTGCAGATGTGGGCAAGATGTCCTCTGAGCCTTGGTCCCCCTTTGCCTGTGGCACCCAAAGACAGACACCAATACCACATCACAGGAAACCGGGGCAGTTTCCGGTTTTAGAATTAATCAAAGGCAGTTTATTGCGGATGAAGAGAGTTGTCCTAAATCAGAACACTTCATAACTCAAATGAAGCTTATGGGACTTAAGCTTTTTTTTTTGGGGGGGGGGGGAGGACATAAACTTTTTACCTTCATTTCTTCCCATTAGTCCCTAAGTTAAAGTAAACCAAAGACATATGCAGCAAAAAGATGCAGGAAAAAAAGCTGTCATCTTCTTGACTAGAGTCTTCAAATACACTCCAAAATTCAACTACAGAAAATATGGTCTCACTTCTTATCGAACGCTTTACTTAATGAAACTTCAAAACCTTCCTGCAGTGCAATTGTTTAAAGACTCCGTCGAGTATGCTGTATACACTTTCATTTGGAGAAGCAGTGCACCATGACAGTAAATGGTTAAGGTCTTAAGATCTGGCTCTGGAGCCGGACCGCCAGTGTTCCATCCTGGCTCCGTGGCTTACTGGCTGAGTTATGCTGGCCAACTTCTCTGGGCCTCAATGAGGATAATAATAGTAAGAACTAAACTGCATGTAAAGCACATGGCATTGTGCCTGGAACATAGAAAAGCTTAGTACATGGTAGGGAGCAATAGTTATTATATAACATGTGATTTTAAAAACTGACTCAATTAGTTGATAAATGATGCGTCAGGGTAGCTTCATCATGGTAATAAGTGTTCCACTCTGGTGAGGGATGCCAGGAATGGGACAGTCTGTGCATGTGTGGGGGCAGGGGCACACGGGAATTCTCTGTACCTTCTGTGCAACTCTGCTGTGAACCTAAAACTGCTTGAAGAAAATCTATTTTTTTTAATCACCCTGTTTCATATGAAAACATAAATTATGTTTACCATTTTAATATTTTCTTGATAATGACTAAGAATGACACCTACTCATTATAGAACACTCAGCCCTTGCTTAGCAATCCATGCCGATTAAGTTATTAAGTATGATATTGGATCTCTTATCAAATATACGTGAAACGAATACCGTTAGAACAATTCAGTTACTAACGCTTTCCAGATTTCCGGACAAATTTTTTCATACTCAACTTAAAAACCTTTAGATTATCTTGTCAAGTTTCCAAACTCCATAGAGTTTAAGAACAGTACTATCATTTAAAGAGGGATCATGAGAGAAAACAGCCCTGAAGACAGTTATGAAAGGGAGGTTTTGTGCTTTTCATAGGTCTTCTGTGCCCCGATGGAGGGCCAAAAGTTTCAAGATTATTAATATACATCAAAGCTTCGTTAACAAGGTAAAGAGCAACAATATTGCTGGGTGATGAATCCTCTTACAGGTTATTTTGATATCTCCAGATAAAGGTTGGAAGGACACAGTCTCCTAACTGGGCAGTCTGTACCTACGCATTTGGCATTTAGTGCAGATAAACCACTGAGATTACTCCAAACCTGTCCTTCCCAATCACCAGTTTTTACAAGGGACAAGTCCTGTCTTCATTGAGCTTAGCGAGTTAACGCTCCAATAAACAGAGCCTCCTGGTCGTGTAATTACATTCTTATTTATTGCATCTACAAACCACATAGAGCAATAAGTCATTCCTAACCGAGGAACCCATGAAGGTGAAGAACATCAAGCCGGAGCGCTCAGTTTCTGTGACGTGTCGCAGCTTAAACTAATAATAAAAAACAACAGCAAGGCTTTACAGAGCAACGACTACATGTCAAGTTCCTTAGAAATGTCAACTAACTTCGCCTTTATAATAAATCAATGAGGAAGGTACTAATACCTGTCCAAGACCACAAAGATAAGAAGTGGAAGGCAAAGTGCTTCGAACTCAGGCAGTCTCGAGTCCAGAGAACACACTCCCAACCTCTGTACTTACTATGCAGTCCCTGTATCCCGGAGCCCGTCCCGCAATATCACAGCTGCTTCCTCTAAGTGCTCTCTATCATCTAAGCATTTCAACTTTGAGCGGTCATTTATGGTTCCTCGTATCAAAATGCATGACAATCTACACGGGGTAATCTCTAAATGCCAGCCCCACTGCAACACTTCTTATACACAAGCTCATACTTAAGCTTGTTCTTGCTATTCTGGGCACAAGGGATGCAGAATGAACTATCACCATGTACTTTGGTGTAGGTTTTCTATTGCTTATAAATAATAGCCATTTCTATTTAACAGCAATGACACAATTACTCTCTTTAAAAAGATGGCCAGTTTAGCTAACGCTGTGCATAGGTTCCCTTGTAATAGTTCCTATTAGCCAATTTGATGGCAACGATGAGACACCCTGTCTTTTGGTTACTCATTTAACCTATAGCCAAATTACTTTTCATCAGCTCTTTGTTTGTTTAAGATTTTATTTATTTATTTATTTGAGAGACAGTAGCATGAGCAAGGAGAGGCAGTCAGAGGGAGAGGGGGAAGCAGACTCCCCCGCTGAGCAGGGATCCTGACGCAGGGCTCAATCCCAGGACCTGAGCTGAAGGCAGCCACTTAACCAATCAGGCGCCCCATATATCAGCTCTTTCTTACAATTCACTACTAATACATTGAACATGCATTCCACAGTTTGGGTTGGAAAAACCTGAACTTCTAAACAAAGATATGATGCAAAAGTATCTAATAAGCTCTCAATGTTTTGACCCTTTATGACTCATAAGACAATTTTATAAGTAGGTTCCAACAATGGGATACACAATTTGGTGAAAATCTTATGTCAGGTCTTCTGAAGGAGGAATGAAAACATCTCTGTCAGATTACTATTTTTAAATTTCTGCAACAATACTCTTAAAGTAATATGGAGAGGCGAGAATCCAGGCAGATTTCAAAATGGAGTTATAAGTATTGGGTTTTTGCGTTAACAAACTGCTTTGTAGTGCTTATCCTGCATTCCTGATAAAACAATATCCAACAGTTAGCCTTGATTTTCTGAACAGAAAAGCTTTACAAATCCAAATCTTAGTAAATTCCTCCAATTGATCCTGGATTTCACAGGACTAACATCTGTTTCCAGATTATCTAAGCAACAACAACCTCTCCATCTATAGTTCTTGACCCTTGAGGGAGCCTCAGACCCTTCTGAGAACTAGATGAAAGCCATGGACCTTCCCCCCAAGAAGTGCAGAGTTCACAAGCTCGTCCCAAGGCCTTAAGAAAAGAATTCCAGCACTATACCTCATACCAAATGTAGTGAGAAAAGTGATGGCAACTTCAAACTCTCTGACAGAAAAATCAAATTTTCCATTTACTCAGTCAATTTGTTAGGAAAAAACAAGTCTTTTTACAGATTCCAAACCAAAGGCATGGGGGAGGGTGGTGGTGAATTAGCTTGAAGCTAGCCCTGGGCAAATGTATTGATCCTAACTGTACAGAACTCTCTTCTCCAGAAACTCCACATGGTGGGTACTTCTTGCCTTCCAGGACTCAGCTCAAATGTCACTTCCTCAGAAAGAATTACTTTCTTGACAACCTATCAAAAGCAGTCATCAGGCCCTCTTTATCACATCTTGCTATTTGACTTTCACAGAAGTATTTATCAGTATTCAAAAACGTCTCATTATTTTTTTGTTGTTGCTTCTCCTTTTAGAGTATAATTGCCACAAGAGCAAATACCTTGACTGTCTTGTTCCCTCCCTACTGTACCCTCAGTGCCCATCACAGTGCCTAGCAGACAGTGGGCATTTGATAAATATTTCAATGATCAAAACTAAAAGACAGCATGTCGATGTTGTAATCAACTACCAAGGGTTTAACTAGCTATGAGTTAGAGTTCCCTTCCTCTTTCCAGTCTGTGGGTCCATTCAATCAACATCTACCACGTGCCAGGCAGTACTGCGGGGGGTCCAGCAGTGAATAAAACAGACAAGTCTCTTTGCCCTCACAGACCCTCTATTTTAGTGAACTGCCCGCAATAAGATCTCTTGAACCTACCTAGTAGGTGTAGAATATGACGGAATTATGGGAGAGCCCGAAATGAAAGAAAAACATTCTCCAATCCGGGACTTCGAAAGCAAGCCTCAGGGGTTTCCCTAAACCAGTTGAGCAGCTCTTCCCACCTGCTCTGCTCACGTGGGGAACCCTAACTAAAAGAACGCAAGTAAAGAAAAAACTTGGGGCAAGGGCTACTTCTTCTGAGGGTGGTGAGGGGAGGAACCAGGAAACAGGACGGCAAGGAGTCATGGCAAGAGCCCTGGGCTGGGAAGCTGGAGAGCTAGCACCAGCTTGTCACTAACTTGCTAGGTGACCTTGGGCCAGTCCCGAGCTGCCAGGGCATCTGTTTCCCCCGGGTATCATGAGAGGGCCGGGAAGGTGGGATTCGAGGTCGGGGGAGGTGGAGGCCAGGAGGCCGGGCGGGGTAACGGCCGGCGTGGGGAGGCCGGCGCGGGGCCGGGCCGGAGCGGCTCACCCACCGAGCGCCACCTGGCAGGCCCTGCGCAGCTGGGAGTGCTGGGGCCGCTTCACCTCCTTGTCGGCTAGGATCTTCTCCAGGGCCCGGGACACGAACATGCTCTTGGTCTGGCTCTCCTGCATGGCCCCGGCCCGGCGGGGGCTGGCAGCCCCGCGGGCGGGCGGCGCGAGCAAGCGGGCGAGAGAGGTTGCGGGCCCGGCGTCCCGGCCAGCACCGGCCGCGTCCGTCCGCGCCGCCCCGTCAGGAAGCTACGCCGCGGCCCCACGGCGCCGCCATGTTGGAGCGCGTCACGTGACCACGTGACTGGCGGGGCCGCTACGGCCGCCGCGCGTCCGTCGACCCCGTGACCTCCTGCGGGGCGGGGCCTGCGGCTGGGGGCGGGGCCCGATGGGCAAGGAGGGGCGGGGCGAAGGAGAGAGGAGTGGGAAAACGAAGGTGGGTTAGGCGAGTGGAGGTGTCAAAAGGCTGGAGGGGACGGGCAGGACAGGAGAAGGGGAAGAGGGAGGACAGGTGGGGAAGGGGGCGATTGGAGGTGAAGGGCTGAGGGGAGAGAGGAGGTAGGAAGAGGAGAGTTCAGGAGAGGAAAAGGGGAAAGGAGATGGGGAGAAGGAGAGAAAATACAGGGAGGAGGGGGAATTGGGAGAAGGGAAGAGGAATGAAATGCAAGAGGAAGTGGGGTGGGGGAGAAATGTGAGAGAACGGCAGGAAAACAGGGAGGGAGAAGGAGAGAGGAAAGGAAAGGAACGGGTGGAGGGAAAGAGGAGGTGAAGCGAAGGCCGGAGGAGAAGGGGTATTCATGGACGCTCTCCAGATACAGGATCTCGCGGTGCCTGTTAGCGGGGCGCACACCTTCCGCCCCCCCCTTCCCGTCGCAGCCGTGGAGCCCATGCCCGGCGGTCCAGTTCAGTGAACTGTGCGTCTCGTGCCGCCTCCGTGCACCTCCCTTCGGAGTGTGTCCGTCCACGTTCATAAATCTGTGGTTCTCCTCGGTTCTGTGCACGGGGCAGGGGCGTTAGGGGCGTCTGACAGGAAGAAACGGGGATCAGCAGTGTCACACAGTCTTCAAGTGAGTGTAAGGAGACAAAAGTCTGGCCGCAGGGCCCTTTGCCTTCTATCCCACCACCAGTGATGTCACAACACCATTGGTGATGCCCCCTGGAGCCCTTCCTTTCACATCGCATGCATCCCCCGCAGGGAGCCTTGGTGCTGAGCAGGGCTCCTGCAAGGACAGTGTCTTTCTTTAAAACCCCAGCAACTTCCCAGGCAGGCATGCTCAAATGCTCTGGTCTCAGTTCAAAGATCTCAGGAGGCTCTCCCTGACCGCTGGGTTTACAGGACCCCCCCCCCACCCCACCATTTGATGTGTTTTTACAACACTTTTTGGCCTTTTGCACTTACCGACTTACATGTTGTCAGACTAGGGTATAGGCCGCAAAGGGTCAGCATTCTCCCCAGGGCCTGGTCCAGAGCCAGGTAGAATGCTTCATGGCCATAAATTCCATTGGTGTAGTACAGCTTTGCAGCTCTTCTCATCAGGAAGTGAAGTTTGTTTCTCTACCCCCTTGGAGTCGTTTTGTGACTTGCCTTGACTAATGGAATGTGGTGAAAGTGAGCCTGGGCAGCAAGAGGCCTCAGATGCTCAGAAACGTACTGAAGAAAGAGCACACAGAGAGAGAGGTCCTGTCCTTCCAGTGGTCCCAGAGCTTCCAGCCCCGCCAACTCACCAGCTGATTACAGCACTTTGAATAACCCTTTCGAGGCCAGCAGAACTTCAGAGCCAAGCCACAGAATAGCAGAAAGCAACACATTTTTGCTAGGCTGACCCACTATATTTGGGGGTTGTTTGTTACACAGCAGTGCATCACTGAGACACCTCTCAATCCATACCTGTTGAATGAATGAGTGAATGAATGGATGTGTGAGACGCTCCAACAAGGCAGTACAAGCCACAGACTAATATGTTTTGTGCCATCCCCCACAGTGAGGTCAGGCCATGCCACTTCCTGCTGAAAACCCACAGTTACTCTCAATTGCCCTTGGAATGGACTCTAAGTATCTCACCATGCCTGACTTCTCTGCTCTCATCTCTCTTTTCCCTTCTTCCTCGTCAGGACTCCGGCGCCGTTCTGGATTCGTCTTTGTTCCTTTTAATGGCTTGGCTTACGTGCCTCCTAGTCCATGCTTCTCAATGAAACCAGTACCAACCCGAGGGACCTTTTGAAATTTTATTGTCATGAGTAGGGAGCAGATTGCTTGACACCATCCTCTAGAGAGCTGGACAATCCTATGTAGTCTCGTGTGGCTGCAGTAGATATTCTTGGAGGTGAAAAGCCTATTAATTGTCATCTGAACCTAGAACATACATCTGCTTGACATATAAACACAAAGCATTTTTAGTAGCCTGACTATATATCAAATTTTCCGGGAATGCGACTATTACTGTAGTTCAAGAGAAAATTGCATTTTGTCTGGAACTTTACCAAATGTTGCTCTCCATTTGAAAATCACATTACTACCATTTGTGCTGGCTCTGGTATTCGAGTCACCACAACAGCACCTCCGACCAGTCTGCAATGGTCATAATCCAGGGAATTCTACTTTTAGGTTCCGGCATCTGACAGCTTTATTTTATCTCTTAGTGTAACTGTGCCTTGGCATTTATATACCGGAATGAATTTGCAGATTGTACATCTCTTTCCTTTTGTTTTGTCTTTGTTTCTTGTTACTTTTTTAAAAAAGATTTTATTTTATTTATTTGAGAGAGAGAGTGAGCAAGAGAGAGAACACAAGCAGAGGAGGGGCAGAGGGAAAGGGAGAAGCAGGCTGCGTACTGAGCAGACAGCCCAATGCAGGGCTTGATCCCAGGACCCCGGATCAAGACCTGAATCGAAGGCAGATACAACCAACTGAGCCACCCAGGTATCTCTTTTGTTAACTTTTTAAAATTACGTGCGTAGAAAGAATCTGTTATCTACGAATTTTGTTTCAGACTTGTGATTATAAAAAAAGGAGTGCAGTGTCTGTTGGGGTTGGAAAGCATATCTGGCTGACATCTTCCTGTCATTCTGTTCCCAGCTCCAGGGTCACCCACAAGGGAAGCTTTCACCAACCTCCCACACCACTGGATTCCACGTCATCTTATTTTCTTTATCACACAAAACCCAATTTGAAATGGGGGTATTTATTTTTTTGTGTATTAGTTATTTATTGCTGCATCATTACCTGAGCCTGTAAAACTACCTGAACACTTAATGGCTGAAACTCAAACATTTATTGGAGCGCCTGGGTGACTCAATCTGTTGGGCATCAAACTCTTGATTTTGGCTCAGGTCATGATCTCAGGGTCATGAGCTCGAGCCCCACATCAGGCTCTGCGCTCAGTGGGGAGTCTGCTTAAGATTCTTCCTCTCCTGCCCATCTCCCCCAGCCCATTTGCTCTCGTTCTCTCTCTGAACAACAACAACAATAACAAACATTTATTGCTTCATAGTTTCTGTGGAGTTTGAGAGCAGCTTGGGTAGTTCTGGCTCAGGAGCTCCCACGAGTGGTAGTCAAGCAGTCAGCTGGGGCTGCGGCCATATGAAGGCTCGACTGGGGCTGCAGAAGCTGCTTCCAAGGTGGCTTGCTCACATGGCTATTGGCTGCAGATCTCATTCATCTTTGCAAGGAGCTGCTTGAATGTGCTCATGACATGGCACCTCACTGTCCCCCAGCAAGAGATCCAAGAGGGGAAAAAAAAAAAGAGAGAGAGAGAGAGCAGCCCCAGGAAGCTCCAGCAATGGTTCTATGACTTGTCTCTGAGGTGGCTCGCTGTGCAAACTGGTCAAGGTCTATTGGAGACTGGACTGTGGTTGATGTAAATGTCAGTGGTGCAGTTTTGCAATGGGGAATGACATTTGGCAAAGTTCTAGACAAAATACAGTTTTCCCTTGATTTGCATAGAGTTGCTTTAGAAGTGAATGACTAAGTACAACCCACACTGAAGAGGAGAAAAATTAGGCTCCCCCTTTTAAAAGAAAGGTCTGTTTTCACATGAGTTTGTTTGCTTATTATCTCCTCTTCCCCAGGTCGCATATACATCCATATAGAGACGTTGTCTGCCTTGCTCACAGCTCTATGCCACAGCACGTAGGAGGTGCTCAGTAGCTATTTATGGATGAATGGAAGTGGGTGGTTTGGGGTCCACAGGATTTACTAATTTCATCAGTGACTTCTGTATTTCTATGGTAGGCACAGTAATGGTCCCCAAAGATAGCCACATCTTAATCTCCTGAACTTGTGAAACTTACAGAGCAAAAGGGACTTTTTTCTGCTTTGCTTTGTTTTTTAAGATTTTATTTTTTTTTTTGCGAGAGAGAGAGCATGAGCAGGAGGTAGGGGTAGAGAGAGAAGTAGACACTCTGCTGAGCAAGGAGCCTGACACAGGGCTCAATCCCAGGACCCTGGGATCACGACCTGAGCCAAAGGCAGACACCCAATTGACTGAGCCACCCAGGCACCCTGTTTCTGGTTTTTGTTTTTTTTTTACTAATCTCTATGCCCAGCATGGGGCTTGAACTCACAACCCTGAGATCAAGAGTCACATGTTCTGCTGACTGAGCCAGCCAGGCACCGCATGAAGGGAACTTTGAAGACGTGATTAAGTTAAGAGTTTTGAAATGGGGAAATCATCCTAAATTACCTGGCTGGCTTAAAAAATCATAAGAGTCCTTATTAGAGGGACACATGAGGGCCAGTGTCAGAAGAAGCTGAGATGTTGGAAATGGAGGTGGCGGTGATGTGGGACTACAAGCCAAGGAACACAGGCAGCCTCTAGAAGCTGGAAAAGGTGGAGAAATGCGATCTCTCTTGGTGCTCCCACAAGGAACACCAACCTGCTGGGGTGTTTGGGTGGCTCAGTCAATTAAGTGGTTAAACACCTGTCTTCAGCTCCCATCATGATCCTGGGGTCCTGGGATCGAGCCCTGCATCAAGCTCCCTGCTCAGTGGGCAGCATTCTTTTCCCGCTCACCCTGCTTGTGCGTGCTCTCTCTCTCTCTCTCAGTCAAATAAATGAATAAAATCTTAAAAAAAAAAAAAGGAAGACAACCCTGCTGATCCATTGTATACCTCTGACCTCCCAAACTATGAGAGAATAAATTGGTGTTAAGCCACTAAATTTGTGGTAATTTGTCACAGAAGTTAAATTTGAATTTCAGGTAAACCAGGAGTACTTCTTTTGAGTGTAAGTATGTCTCATGCAATAACTGGGACATTGTTATATTTTTTTAAAAATCACCT